ATTATAGCCGAACACAATGAACTCAATTCGAGCTCATTATCCATATTGTTTGATCGTATTAAATACAAGAAACAAATTAATTAAATTACTTGTTGACATTAAAATCATGATAATTTTATATGTGCACCATATTTACGGTATATAAATAACCTGTATGCATATAGTATATATTGCATGTTTATTTTATTTTATTTATTTTTTATTTTATTTTATTTTATTTATTTTTTATTTTATTTTATTTTATTTATTTTTTATTTTATTTTTATTTCGTCAATTTAATTTTTGGGTATTGCAAAAATCATGTATGAATTTAAATTCTCTTACATGAAATGTTTTTATTTTTAAAGAAACCTGCTTGCCCTGGGTGATACTGCAGGTAAAAATCTTTTATGAATCAGCATGGCATTAACATTCCCTCAATCAATCAATCAATTAATTAATTAATAATGAACCAAAAATGCCACCATCCCATGGCTTAATGGTAATAAGGTGGTGATAATTATCACATTTTAATTATACTTTTATAGCAACAGATAATGAATTATTATGGGAGATTGATATTTAATGCCCTTCTTATATTAGCCCTTTTAAAAAAAAAAAAAATGTTTTTTTTTTTTGATGAAAATAAAATAATATTTTCATTTACTGTGTACGCGTGCTCCCTTATTTGTTGTAAATCAAAAGTCACGACGTTCAAACACGTGAATTCTTTTGGACATCTACTTGAGCATTTCATATACGTTCGGACTATTCCTTTTTTTAACATTCAAATAAAAGAGCATCTTTCATCCCTGGAAATCCATGCATCTTCACTTCCATTATAAGTTGATATTCAGGAAATCTTTCATGATACTCACGTAAAATCGATTCGTCCAGTTTCCTTGCGAACACGTATCATTCTGCCGTGAAGGTCGTCACGGTGAAAATCTCACGATGTTACAACCTTACCCCTATATTTTAAGGGCAGGGTGGGATCGACGTGGAGAGTATGAATGGATGTTCGCGGTTGAACCGAAAACATCTCTGAGTCGACGAGATCTTGTGGTATTTCTAATAACAAAAGAATAATATGTCGAGTGGTACGAGCACCATAATTTCTCGATACCGAAATCGGAAAGATGATTCCTGATTGAATGCTAGCATACTAATTATGAACTAGTTATGAACAGGATTAAACAGGAATTTTTGATTTTCGAATGATGTTAAAACAAAAATGTTGTCTGTAAGGGTTCATACAGTAATTGATTTAGAATGAGTTACACGGTGTGAATTAGCGAAAACGAAAGATTCCTCCCTTTTAATTGACCATTCGTACCTTGAAAGTCGTAGATGAGGTGCGGCATATGGAGTTGCAGATCATTCACCGTACTTTCGGGATCACAAAAAATTTTTTCATTACCGAGTAAGAAGTTTACACCGTGTGACAACTTTTCCGATGAATCTTTGATTCCCTTATTCCGTGCAACCTTTCGAAGAGAATTGGGGTAAAGATAGGAAGAAACTCTTCCGAAAGTTAATTTAATGTGACATGAATCCCCATGGATGATTGGAAGTGAGACATTTGTGCATGCGGCAATTGAGCCTCTACTCTCCGAGTGACATTTCCCATTGGGAGTGGTGATGATAGCAAACGAGTTCTCTTGATGACCAAATCCGAAGATCAATACTCTTGTTTCCCGATCACTGATTCCATATCAATTGGGGAAGGATAGAATTATATTAATTAAAAAAAAAAAAAAAAACTTAAGAAAGAAGGTAAACAATTAATTAAATAGAGTAGAATAGAATAAATAAACAAAATAAATAATAAATATATAATAAATAAATGAGTAAATGTTCATTTATTCTGAATATGTTATTTTCACTAATGATAATAATAACAATAACAACAATAATAATAATATTAATATTATTATTGTTATTATTATTATTATTATTATGAGTCAGTGCACTTTCTACGTCGAACGTTACCCGTCCCTTTTTTTAAGCCTGGCAAACTCTTCTGGTTGCTTGTTTACCTTTTAAATACTAACTTCCCTGAGCCCAAATTCTAAAGAGAGAATACACGTAATTGCGCTCGCATCACTTGAACGCTAAAACGAGAACACATGTAACTTCGCTCACGGCGCTTGAATGCCAAAAGGAGAACACCCATAGTCTTACTTGCAATAATAGAAAACAGGAGACCTTTGAGGTCACAATATTATGTTTGGGCCATTGTGGTGCGACTTTGTCTCTTAATAATTCCCTTCGGAAGTAATGCATTGTTTTTTGAACCTCCGATTATGTGGAGTGGTTTCGCCGAGACGAGGGATGGTCAATTTAAGCGAACAAGTGAACAAGTAACGATACTCTTCTATCCGCTCCAGAGTGTGGTCTCTTTTTCGGCAACAACCTTTTGAATTTCAAATTCTCACTCGTACATACGGCGTTATTCTCTCCGACTGCCAACATTGGTTATTCTCACGTGATACGTGTGCTGCGCCATCGTGGATATCCTTCAAAAAGGCAAAAGACATGGTAAACACAATCTTCAGCCGAAGCATCGCACCTCATTTGGATAGTGGGAAGTTCCGTCGATGAAACAGTGCATTGCTCTTTTTCGAATGATTGGTGGTGCCAATGACAACCTTTGAGAAAGTCCTTTTTGACTGCATACACTGTATCATGCTCTTGAATATCAATAGATGACATATTTTTTATATAATGGATATCACAGATAGCATAATTTTACAATAGTCTATGGTATATAGGCAGAGAGAGTAGTTCATTTGATAACATATTTGGCAAGGTTTTGTCAATTGATTATGGTATATACGTACGTATGTAGGCAATTGATTTTTAGTTTGATAAACACCTTGATCCGAGAGTAAATATGTATATACAGTATATTTATTTAGGAATAAATAAATAAATAAAAAGAGAAAGAAAAAAGGCTTTCACACAATACTAAAAATAAAATAAGATAAAATGGGTTAATATAAAAAACAGAACCGTTATTTGCACACAGAGTTTGATGGTCGGGCCGCTAAATGATATGGTCAGCCTAAAATGTGTTGCCAATGCGCCTCTCACGTCAACCCTCTCCTCCTCAGCCTACGTGTGTGCGATACGTGTTCCCCTCTTGGCGCGCGCGACGTTTCCCAGCGGTTCGCGGACTATCGACTCGCTGATTGCGGAGTGGATGAGAATGGATGGCACGGGAAGAGGTCAGAAGGGAAAGTAAGTGATCAATTAACGCCGTCGGTTAATGGTCATGAAAATGGGAGAATTTTATTTATTTTTATTTGGTTTTTTATTTGTTTTTTTTTTTTTTTTTCTCGCAGGAAGGAAGGGTGAACAAACGGCGTGAAACGGTTACACCGACTTTGGGAAGTTAATTAATCAATAATGGGAGTCAATGTTTACCCAGGACATTCACCATAAACAGGCTAATAAGGATCGATTGGGATATCCGAAAAAGAAAAGGAAAGGTCACCGGCACTTATCGTCAATATTAAAGGAATCGAATCATCTGAGAGAAACGGACTAATAGATGCGATATAATTGATCTATTTTAAGCAAAAAGCGACATGCATACATTATAAGCTGGAGATGATAAGTTTAATCCGCACTACCGAAAAAGTGTGTGCCTAAAATAAAGATTACATTATTGCCGAGCATAAACTTACTTAACGTTGGTGCCGCACCGACAATAAATTTATAGTAGGAGGGGGTCAATAGGATTACAAATGGATCAATAAAACCGCATATGGAGTTAGAAATCATTGTAGAAATTTGTGAAATACATGCGTACTAGGATGACATAAAAAGCAACCACCAATACATATGCAAGTTTGTGATCGGAGTTAGGTTCAAAATAATCACAGGCACTTCTTATGTACTGTACGTATGCATGTACTGTATGTACACGGGTGTACAGATATCTAGCGTTCAACTATGATGAGAATGGAGTTAGTGGCTAAGGAGAAGGCAAAACGGAAATGCGATTGAAGCATGTACAACAATAACAACAGCAGCGGTATGTAATGTACGCATTAATTGCATAACGGACATAAGATAGGTTTGTTTCAAATGAATAAGAAATTTTTAAGAAGAACGAATGCATAGTTTCAATAGGTTAATTTTCAAATGGCAATAGGTATTCATACCCACATACTGTACCTCCATTCAAACCTATTTCAAGGTATGCTCCATTACATATACAGGAATACGCTGTGTGTGTACATAATTATTATGCGTATATATATGTACGCATATGGTAAACCCCCATGTGGATAACATATACAGTGATAACGCAGAACGTAGAACAATGAGTGAACAATAAAAATTACGAGGAGAAGAATGAACAATTACTTTTCGGGTCGAAGAAAGACACCGACACAGGGGATAATAGATAATGCAGCACCGATGTGATGTCATCATATTGCGTTCATCCATCTAAGACGTCACGAAAATTTGCCATGTTCGGCGCAACAAAAAGAAAAAGAATAGTTTGTTAAATTACGTACCATCATCGTTGAGCGGGGTGTGAGAGTTCTGCGAGTATTGCGAGCTAGTTAGTTAAGAGTTACCTCAAATCCCTTCAGTCTCGACGCATCCGACATGTCATATGAGAACGACTCAACGCATTAGTGGCTCACACGATTAAATATGAGATTGAATGGTGTGACCACTCTCATTATCTTGTGTGCGGTATAACGTTATAAATGGTCGACATCAATTGCCGTTGTATATGCACGCAACGCACATATCACACATATGTGAGCGAGTTGACAGAATTTTGGTTGCGCATATGATCAAAATTTATAGGCACCAAGCAGAATTATTTATTACTCGGATTGAATTTCATTGTGCATTGTCTGCATCACTTTCACCGTACCACCTCAAATTGAAACCAATCTGCCTGTAGTTGTTTGTTGTTATTGTGTTCTCCAAAACCCTGCACCATACCATATTAAGCGGGCACTAGTGAAAAAAAAAAAAAAAAAAATTTTTTTTCTTTTCAACCAACCTAGAATAAATAACAAAATAATAAAAACTGTTAAGCTTATATAATAAATGGTGGTAAGATTAATACTTATTCTCTCGTGAGATGGAAAACAAATACCAAATTGGTTTTTTCGGCGTTGACAATCGCGGATATATGGAGAACCATTGTTTTTTTTTTGCCCCTCGCCGTCAATCTTTTTTTTTTTTATGATTGCATTTAATAATAATAATCTATTAACAAAGTAATTGGTTTTCAAAGATGAGACTGATAAGTGTGATGATGGTGGTTTCATACCATTAGTGAGTGATGCATTTTTCTCCGAAAATATATATACCTTCCGGAAAAAAAAAAAAAAAAAAAAAATACTACCTTTGCGCCATACTTCCTTATCCACCGAATAATATCGAAATGTGTGTCTCCTTCCTAATAGCCTTCTTTACTTTCACCATTCCTCTGCCGTCAAATTGGCACCCTTCACTTTTCCTCCTTACTCGTCTGTCCGTGACAAAAGGTAGTCGTCATAATTCCTCTTCCACCTTTATCCGATACCATCGCCGACCGACACCACCCCGCACCACATAAGCGTCTATTATATAAATAAAATAATAATAATAAATAATAATAATAATAATAATAATAATTGTAATTATTATTATTATTATTATTATTTATTATTATTATTATTATTATTATTATTATTATTATTATTATTATTATTATTATTATTATTATTATTATTATAATTATTTTATTTATAAGATAAAGGGAGTTATATCTTGCGCGCTATCATTAATTATTATTACATACTGTACACTCTTAGTCTCTGAGATAATTATACGCATGCGTATTTGAAAAAGAAAAAAAAAAAAAAAAATTTTTTTTCGTCGATTTTGGGTTTATTTATGATACTTACACTCCCTACTTATTTTGATCACTTTATACGGCACTTGGGCCCTGTAGTGTAGCCTTCATTTCGGACCCCATTGTAATCTGTCTATTCAACCATTGGCATTATTATAATTTTTATTTATCTTACTTTATTAGCTATTAACACAATTTTAAAATTCTTTATAAATCTCTAAACTACACTATAATCAATCCATTACCCAAATTTTTGTCTTAACTTTGAAACTAATACATCATAATTATTTTTTTTTATAAAAATCTTCGTTTCTCTCAATTCCCTTACTTTAGGAATATTATCCCCACAAAAAATTACTTATCAGGTAGCGTATTATCACAATTTCTATTCTTTTATTTATTTATTTTTTTTTTTTTGCAAACTTTTCTCTTTTCCTCCTTCCCTTCCTAAGAGAGAAAAAACTTTCCGTACTGTGTTATCAAATTTGACTCGACACACTCCATCCCGTCTTATGCATCTTCCGGTCTCGTTTGCATATGACGCCTAATCTCTTCTTCTCTTCCTCTTTCACTTTTATTTATTTGTTTTTGTTTTTCACCTGCGCACGAGCACATTACCTCTCTCACGCATCTTTTAACCACCTTCCCTGTTCCCCCTGACGTCGTTCAACAGTTTCCTTTGCGTCCGTCCTATGCAATGCCTTCACAGACTGACTCAAAACCCATACCAACAGCCACAACCACCACCATCTTAACCCCCATGCACAAAGATTCCTCGGAGTTATTATCCAAGGAGATTCGTTCTCAACAGGTTGCCGTCGACGGTGAGGATGTCGTCGTAGACAATGTAAACGGTATCGTTAACGATGATTCGGATGTGATCACAAACACAATGGCTTCTGGATCTTCGTCACCGTTCATTCATGACGGTGGCGTTACCACCGCTGCACCGTCAAACCCCTCGACGCTCGATTCCAATAGCCTTGGTCTCGCGCAAAGCAATGACCCTTCGGGTGCACAGAAATCCACCCAGAAGTCGACCAAACACCAATCGGTGTCAAGGCCTCCCCGAAGGACGAGGAATTCGGCAAAAGTTGTTAACATTGCAACAACCGGTCAAAATGACAAGGATACTGCGACCACCCCTGGTTCTCTCTCCGCCAACGTTAATCCCATCACCCCCGCGACCAATAGATCTTTGCAATCAATAATACCTGCCAAC